TGGTCTCTTAGTTGAAATGATATATATATATATATAGGTAGAAGGTTTAATGAATTTATGGATTACCCGTTCGAATGACTCAACGGGTAAAGAGATCTAAAACTCGTTCCCGATTCAAGTTCGAGCTTTTTGGAAAGGAGTATTCACTTGTGTGGATACAAATCGAAGTATGGAAACATGCATTCATCCATATTTTTTCAATTATATTTAGGCCGAAAATCCAATGAATTTGTGGATTATAAAAAAAAATTCTACGATTCAAATGACTCAATTAGTAAAGAATGAAGTAAAACTTGTTCCTAATTCAAGTTAGGATCTTTTTAAGTAGGAATATTCAATTGGGTTTTCTCCATAATTGAATGGGAATGTACATGAACTTTTCGATTATAAATAAAACAATAAGTACTCTCACGTTTCCGACATATTTGGATGAACATGTCTCGTCATTGGTTCTTGTAAATAAGAACAAAGACCACAAAAAGCTACGGTTGCCACAAAAAGAAACAGAACCCATTTCACAACAGATGAAAACAACCAAGAAACCCATAACTGCTCGTTGGTTTTTTTTCTTCACAAAAAGATTCCTGTACTTTTCTCCATTCACGCGTCTCTGTTCCTTGAACCCTTTTTCTCTCAGAACATAAGGCACCAAGATTTCGGTTGAAGTACCCAAGAGACGAACTCTGATTTAGGTTTAAAAAAAAAAGAGGGCAATGGCATTAGCGTAGGAGCTGAACTCCAGCACGGTCCATCGCCATCACAAATATCGGATCTCATTTACAAACCACGCATATTAGTACCAGCAGTCGGAAGGAAACAGATAAAAAAAAACAAAACCACAAAACGTTTTCCAAGGTTCAAACGAGAATTCTGTCCAAAAGGGTGTTTAAAACCATCCTCCCCCGGTCTGGTGAAGCATTGCGTCAATCTCGTCTCCGTCTTCCATCTCGAGCTGCATTCAAAGTCACGGAGCGATAGTGAATGCCGGAAAAGAACGTGAAACAATGAACGAGTCCCTTGAAATCACGTGCCAGAATCACAACTCAAAGTCCTTAGACCACTGTCTCGACGAGACAGCTCAGATCGAGAATATCACGTGGCGAGATTACCTCGTCGGGGGTTTGCTCTGGTCGAAGCCTGCGACCGTCGAACAAGAAGGCGATGGAAGTCATGTCCACCGACTGGCGGTCGCAGTAAGCCGTCATCAATTTCTTCAATTGTGTGCTCCTCTTGATCCTGAAGAACACCTCGTTCCCATCCTGATATACATGCACGTACACAAATGCTTAAACTACAGAGACGGGATTGAATCGCATCCACAAACAATAATTGCTTTGATCAGGAATTCCCATTCATGATTCCGACATAATCACACGTTTGAAGAATCAGACAAGCAAAATTAAAACTCAAAAGAAAACCCCCAAAATGATTCAATCACAAAAACAACCATTACATCAACAAAAAAAACACCACAGGGAACCAGAAGATCAATACAAAAAATCGAGAAAAGATTACAACTTTGGACGATTCGTGTGAAAACTCAGACCCAGAAGACAAGAACAGAGCAGTTAAACTAAAAAAAAAACATGAGAGAAAACCCAGACACAAAAACGATGGAGTTTTACCTGACCCTTCACTTTGAGATTAATGTGCACAGATTGATCTCCGGGTTTTTTGTCCTCCTGACCGGCGGTTCCATCACCTCCGTCTGCTGACATATCTCTTCGCTTCTAACTTCCCTTCAGTTTGTTGTCTGCTCCGTAGGCTTGGGGCACGAGTGAATATATAAAGACGGAGGAAAAAGAAAGCGTTACTTTGACGCTATCAATCGCCGAGATCAGGTCATGCCGTACCACGTTCCCGTATAAGGGTACTTTAGGTATTTCAGAACTGAGATCTGCGGCTCTTGTGTTGATCACGTGCGCTTTTTAAAGCGTATGTATCCGATTCTCGCGAGTACTAGAGTTTAGCTTACGCGCGAGATGGCGGAGGTTAAAATTAACCCGATTGGATAAAATTTTGAATTCCGCGTGTTGGCTCCATTCGTACGGTGGATTGAACGGCTGAGATTACAAGCTGTTGATCGGACGGATAATAACGGTTTCAGAATCTTATATGTGGTCATTTGGTTCTACTATCTATATTCTCGTGACCTTCCAGTTCCCACCATTGACTTACCTTCCTTTAAATTCTGATTTTGTTAATACACACGCGTGTATATATATATATATATATATATATATATATATATGTATATAATGAACTCAAATTTCTATTTCAAAGGAGCCACCATTATTTCGCGTGGGAATAAAAAATTTCGGGCCCATTTATTATTGGGTTTACAAGACCATTTATTATTGGGCTTAAAGGCCCATTGATATATATATAGGTAGAAGGTTTAATGAATTTATGGATTACCCGTTCGAATGACTCAACGGGTAAAGAGATCTAAAACTCGTTCCCGATTCAAGTTCGAGCTTTTTGGAAAGGAGTATTCACTTGTGTGGATACAAATCGAAGTATGGAAACATGCATTCATCCATATTTTTTCAATTATATTTAGGCCGAAAATCCAATGAATTTGTGGATTATAAAAAAAAATTCTACGATTCAAATGACTCAATTAGTAAAGAATGAAGTAAAACTTGTTCCTAATTCAAGTTAGGATCTTTTTAAGTAGGAATATTCAATTGGGTTTTCTCCATAATTGAATGGGAATGTACATGAACTTTTCGATTATAAATAAAACAATAAGTACTCTCACGTTTCCGACATATTTGGATGAACATGTCTCGTCATTGGTTCTTGTAAATAAGAACAAAGACCACAAAAAGCTACGGTTGCCACAAAAAGAAACAGAACCCATTTCACAACAGATGAAAACAACCAAGAAACCCATAACTGCTCGTTGGTTTTTTTTCTTCACAAAAAGATTCCTGTACTTTTCTCCATTCACGCGTCTCTGTTCCTTGAACCCTTTTTCTCTCAGAACATAAGGCACCAAGATTTCGGTTGAAGTACCCAAGAGACGAACTCTGATTTAGGTTTAAAAAAAAAAGAGGGCAATGGCATTAGCGTAGGAGCTGAACTCCAGCACGGTCCATCGCCATCACAAATATCGGATCTCATTTACAAACCACGCATATTAGTACCAGCAGTCGGAAGGAAACAGATAAAAAAAAACAAAACCACAAAACGTTTTCCAAGGTTCAAACGAGAATTCTGTCCAAAAGGGTGTTTAAAACCATCCTCCCCCGGTCTGGTGAAGCATTGCGTCAATCTCGTCTCCGTCTTCCATCTCGAGCTGCATTCAAAGTCACGGAGCGATAGTGAATGCCGGAAAAGAACGTGAAACAATGAACGAGTCCCTTGAAATCACGTGCCAGAATCACAACTCAAAGTCCTTAGACCACTGTCTCGACGAGACAGCTCAGATCGAGAATATCACGTGGCGAGATTACCTCGTCGGGGGTTTGCTCTGGTCGAAGCCTGCGACCGTCGAACAAGAAGGCGATGGAAGTCATGTCCACCGACTGGCGGTCGCAGTAAGCCGTCATCAATTTCTTCAATTGTGTGCTCCTCTTGATCCTGAAGAACACCTCGTTCCCATCCTGATATACATGCACGTACACAAATGCTTAAACTACAGAGACGGGATTGAATCGCATCCACAAACAATAATTGCTTTGATCAGGAATTCCCATTCATGATTCCGACATAATCACACGTTTGAAGAATCAGACAAGCAAAATTAAAACTCAAAAGAAAACCCCCAAAATGATTCAATCACAAAAACAACCATTACATCAACAAAAAAAACACCACAGGGAACCAGAAGATCAATACAAAAAATCGAGAAAAGATTACAACTTTGGACGATTCGTGTGAAAACTCAGACCCAGAAGACAAGAACAGAGCAGTTAAACTAAAAAAAAAACATGAGAGAAAACCCAGACACAAAAACGATGGAGTTTTACCTGACCCTTCACTTTGAGATTAATGTGCACAGATTGATCTCCGGGTTTTTTGTCCTCCTGACCGGCGGTTCCATCACCTCCGTCTGCTGACATATCTCTTCGCTTCTAACTTCCCTTCAGTTTGTTGTCTGCTCCGTAGGCTTGGGGCACGAGTGAATATATAAAGACGGAGGAAAAAGAAAGCGTTACTTTGACGCTATCAATCGCCGAGATCAGGTCATGCCGTACCACGTTCCCGTATAAGGGTACTTTAGGTATTTCAGAACTGAGATCTGCGGCTCTTGTGTTGATCACGTGCGCTTTTTAAAGCGTATGTATCCGATTCTCGCGAGTACTAGAGTTTAGCTTACGCGCGAGATGGCGGAGGTTAAAATTAACCCGATTGGATAAAATTTTGAATTCCGCGTGTTGGCTCCATTCGTACGGTGGATTGAACGGCTGAGATTACAAGCTGTTGATCGGACGGATAATAACGGTTTCAGAATCTTATATGTGGTCATTTGGTTCTACTATCTATATTCTCGTGACCTTCCAGTTCCCACCATTGACTTACCTTCCTTTAAATTCTGATTTTGTTAATACACACGCGTGTATATATATATATATATATATATATATATATATATGTATATAATGAACTCAAATTTCTATTTCAAAGGAGCCACCATTATTTCGCGTGGGAATAAAAAATTTCGGGCCCATTTATTATTGGGTTTACAAGACCATTTATTATTGGGCTTAAAGGCCCATTGCAGCTAAAAGGCCCAAGTCGATGAAAAAAATGAATATTCGATCGACGAAATCAAATCACCTCCGTCGTGT